TTGTATGTGAACACCTGTTCATATGTGTCTGTGTGCGTGCGTGTGTATCTGTTTACATGTGTGTACATACGTGCACGTGTGTGGCCTGGTGTACACATGTGCGTGCAAGCTCACGTGCACACATGTGTGGGTGTGCGTGCACACCCATGACAGTGACGCTTAGCTTCTCCTCCTCCCTGATTGGATCTCCTGTGTCCCATGCCGCTCTCTGGACCGAGCTCTGCTGGGCACCCATGGGAATTAGGGCAGGCATCAGGGGGGGAGGGGTGGGGAGACAATGAATCAGCTCCACATTCTGGGGCTGCCTCATGATGGAGCCAGTGCTGTGATCAGGGAGGCTAGGGGAGGGTCTCGCCGGGGCCGGGGGCCGGCCTCTCTCCAGCACAGGGCAGGCCTCCTGAACCCAGGTCCGGGCCCCAGCCACATGAGAGGCCACAGTGTGATGAGCTGGTGTCTGGACAAGCTGCTGTCCTCAGAGGCAACAGAAGGAGGCTGCTGACCACTGCAGGTGGGAGATCGCCAGACAAAGGCAGCTTTGCCTGCGTCCAGTTAGCCAGTCATCAGGCACCATCCCTCACCTTTCGTTCTACACTGCTGCTACCCTCTCCGAGAGGGACATTGTCCAGTGTCACTCCACACCCCGCCCAGGACCCTAGATGCACCCTGCTGACAGGGCCCTAGACCCACCTGCAGCATCTCGTGTGGGAGCAGGGCAGACACCCCACGTGGGCTCCCCGTGTAAGCAGTGGTGGTAAATGTTGGCCTCATCAGCCCCACCCCTGGCCTGGATCCATCCTTCCACTTTACAGAGCACTTCTGAATATGAAATATTTATCCTCACAGGCGGCTCTGGCTTCCCAAAACAACAGCTCAGCACAGTGTGGACAGAGATATAGGCAAGCCCGGCTGCCAGGGGCCTTTGAGGAACCAGGCCTCACCGTATGTCCCCCCAGGATGCCTGCACAGCCAGCCTGCCCCCCTTCTCATTGTCCATCTCAACAGCCTGCCCTGAAGCTGCCCTCAGCCCCGCAGACCTCCCACTGAACACAGACAGAGCCTGGCCACCCTCCTCTCCAAGCCCCTAGGCTGGTCCCAGTGCTCATCTGCCTCATCTTTTCCCCTAAGGCCCTTCTCATCTGCTGGAAGTCCCCCGACCCCCTAGATCAGATCCCCCTTGGCCCCTGGCCTTTACCAGTTAGTGTTCCCTACAAATGCTAGGCATGTTGTGTGAGAGATGCAGGTGGGCACATGGGCAGACGGGCAACCATGTCTGGTGTCAGCCGGAGGACAGGTCTGTCCATTGGCAGACTCAAAGGGCAATGTTGGCCTTTCATTCCTGCAGTGGGAGGCAAGGACCTCCAGATCTTAGTGCTTTGTCTCTATCTGTCCCATAAGGCCCAGGGGAGCCAGCGCAGCCAGAAAAGCAAAGGCCCTGGCTGGGAGTGGGTGCAGAAGTGTGGGGCTGGGGGAGCTAAGCTCAGAAATTTAGGGGGCTTCCTGGAAGAAATGGTCCCAGCCCATACTGCAGGCTCAGCAAAGCACAGCAAAGGGCCAACCTTGAACCCTGGGGCAAGGCAAGGGGGGCTGGGGCCCTGAGGGCACAGGGATCACGTGGGGTATGGGCATCCTGGGGGCCTGGGGGACCTCAGGAGGACCTGGGTGTCCTGGGCACAGCACACCCTTGAGAGGGGCTGGGTGTCCTGGAGGCATAATGGACACTGTAGGAGGCTGGGGATGCTGGAAGCTGGGCATCCTGGGGCATGGGGGTCCTTGTGGGAAGCTGGGGGTGCTGAGGGTATTGGGAACCTCATGGGGGGCTTATTGTTTTAGGGTTATAGGGGAATCTCATGGTGGATTTGGCACCCTGGAGTATGGGTGCTCCGTAATGAGTGCTAAGTATCCTGGAAGCACAGAGGACTTCCTGAGGTGGCAGAGCGTCTTGGGGTCTAGGGGACCCCATGGGGGACTGGGCATCCTGGGAGCGCTCTAGTAGGAGGTCCAGTCCAGCCTCAAGTCTCCTGTTGGGCTTTTCCGCAGGTAAGACTCCACAAGGGGACACAGGTTGGGGCTTCAAGTGGGAGCCAGGAGGCAGGTCCCCCCAGGCTTCTAGGTTTGGCCTGGGAGTGGGGGCAGAAAGGACAAGAGCTGTTATTGGACACAGGCCCACAGCTTTGGCCCCCAAGAAAGCCTCTCATCGATGGGGGGCATTCTCTGGGGAGTTTGGTTGGGGCTGGCCATGCTTGTGTCCCTGCTGGTGGACATCCCTGCCACTAACACTTCCGGGCTGAGGGGAGCAGATAAGTTTGTCCTCTGAGCCACAGGCAGTACATATGGTGCCCAGCTGGTGGGCCGGGATCCAAGCCACAGCATTCTGTCAGGTGAGGTGGCCCTGCATGGCCGTCACAGGGAGAACGTGCAAGGCCTGACTGGGGCTCCCCACACATGTCCCATCTGCCCCTACGATGGCGTGCTAATTCTCTGCTGGCCTAGACTGAGGTGGATGTGGTCACCCACCCATAGGTACCAGATCCAGGCTTCAAGGTTCCCAACAGCCCCAAGATACTGGACCTTCCCACCCCTCCTGGAAGCTGAACAAGGATAGCTCCCTCTCTCTGGGCTCTGGGTCCGCCTTTTGCGCTGCACAGTGCTTCACCTGTGACATGGTCAGGGGCAGCTTCTGGGAAGGACAGCAGGGCTACTGACCACTGGGACCATCATTCCTCTGTCTGGGCAGGGGAGGCCCAAGCCGAGGCGAGATGAGGATCCTGGGGAGATGACCTGTCCGGTGTTCCCACCAGATTACGCCCCATCCAGCTTGTTGCTACCAGACAGGTGGAGGGGCCTCAGTGGCTGTAGCCTCACTCGAGACCCGGAAAATACCCCAGAGTTGTGGTGCCCTCCGTCCCGAGGGGACAGCAGTCTCCTTCCTACGGCATCACCAGGGAGCTCTGATCAGTCAGTGGGAAAGAGTTGTGCTGCCAACACAACATAACACAACACAATAAAACATAACATATCACAACACAACACAACACATCACAACACAACACACGGTTGGAGCCCACCGACTGCTCTGCGGGAGAAGGATGGACAATCTTCTCATCCAATTCACTGCCTCTGAAAACTCACTAGTGGACCAGCAGTGGACTGTTCCTGACTCAACGGCACACAATGGTAACAACAGAGCGTCAGCACACCTGGGACTCTCCTCACCTGGATACACCTGCCTGGACCCATTGGGGACTTCTAGGTGGGAGAGGCCCCGGCCAAGCCAGGCCTGGCTCTGCCCAGGGCAGGAAGATGAACGCGGTGCCTGTAAGGATGAAGTAACGGGTGTATTGACAGCTAGGAGGTATGGCGTCAGCTCCAGTCCCACTGCCCTGAGCTGGATGGAACCGGGTGGGGCTGGGGGACTGGGACCACTGGGTGCTCCTAATATGGCCCCAGGGGTCAGGCTCCCTAAAGGTTCTGGGATGGGAAGAGAGGAGTCAGGTCTGACAATTTTTCAGATGGGAAGGGGGGAGTCCAGGCCTGACAGTTTCTGGAATGGGAATAGGGGAGTCTGGCTTGACAATTTTGGGGATGGGAAGGGGGAGTCCAGACCTCAAGGGCTCTGGGAAAAGTGAGGTGTGGGGATGCTGAGAGCTCTGGGATGGAATGTGGCTAGTTGGGGCCTGATGGGTTCTGAGATGGGGAGAGTCCAGCCCCCAATAGGCTCTGGAGTAGGAATAAGGGGGTGTCGGAACCCCAGCAGGCTCTGAGGTGGGAAGAGGCTGAAAGAGACCTGTGTCCTCATGGGATGCATGTCCCTGGGACCAGCCTGTGGTGAGGGGACATCCAAATTTCTCATGCTGCAAATTTCTACCCAAGCCACCTTAAGTCCCAAGAGGACCAGGTAGACGACAGTAAGATGGGTTTTCTGAAAAACAAACAAACAAACAAACAAAACAAAAAAACACCTGGAAGACAGCCAACATGACTCCCAAGGAGGAGATTGGGGGTCCTAGTGACCCATTGCTCAGGGTCATTAAGTGGCCCTCAGAGCAGGACAAAGCTGCAATATAAGGGACACCTGACCTGATGCCCCTGTGTCCACCTCTGCACTGCCTATAATCACTTGTGACATGACCAGGGGCAGCCATACGGGAGGGGGGGAAAACCCAAGCAGAGGGGACACAGGAACCTTGGAGGACCTGCCCTGGTATTCCCACCAGACAACTTGGTGACAGGAGGGACTGTGGGAGGCATAGTTCCCTCTCCACATTAGCAGGACGAAGTCCAGGCCTGCATCAGGGCTGCACGGCTCCCTTCCCCGCCGCTGGCCAGGTGCCCTGGGTGTGGCCAGCTGCAGCAAGACTGACCGACAGCCAGAGGGCCTGGCCCTGCCCTGCCTCAGCTTTCCATCCTGCTGCTGGACACACAGGTCTGCACCAGACCCCAGAGCAAGGAGCCACAGACCCTGGGACCTCAGAGGGACGGGCGCTGGCCATCCTGGGCGCATCCCACCATGGGCAGCGTCTGCCTTCCCAAAGCCAAGAGCCTGAAAACTCTGCTCCCCACCATACTTCAAAGTGCAACCCTGCCCTGCCACACTGTGGCCACACCACCAGGGACCCCAAGGCCAACTCCCAGCTTGCCTGCACTCCCCCAAGCAGGCCAGCGGGCGGCCTGTCCCCAGAGTCCTGGTGGTGGACGACCCACCGACACTCGGCCTGTGGATAAGCACAACACCTCACCAGGCACAGCCTCTCAGTACATGACCAAGTCCCAGATGACCACAGCCCGGGGACGAAGACGGCACGAGCAACCCGCGGGGGCCAGACAGGCACAGCGCGTGCGGAGGGACTGGCGGGAGGTCTCTGGCGCCCACCGATCGCCGCACTGCGCCCCGCGCACCCTGCGGCCCCCCTGCGAAGCCCACCCGCCCACCGCACTGCGCCCCGCGCGCCCCGCGGAGCCCATCCGCCCCGAGGGAGTGGGCTGCAGGCGGGAGGGCGCACCGCTGCCGGGGGCTCCCTGCCAGGTGGGCAGCACCATGTGGAAGCAGTCGCACATAACGAGGCCGGTGGTGCGGGCCCGCAGCGGCCCCGCGCGGTGTCAGGTCCGGCTCCGACTCGCTCCTGCAGTCTGGCAGGCGGGCGGCACACCCCGCCGCTGGCCAGGCGCTGCCCCGGCGGCCAGGCTCCGACTGCAGCAGGAGCCCACGCCGCCAGACCCCGCAGATACGGCCGCGCCCCGCCCGCGCCCCGCGCAGGCCAATGCGGAGCGCGAGCGCGGACAGCACCCCGTCCTCATTCAGCCTATTGGTCGCCGCGTGGCCCGGCCCCGCCTAGCTCCCGCCCCCGCCGCTTGCAGGTCCGCCCCTCGGCCGGCCGGCCCCGCCCTGTCTCTCTCTTGGTCCCCTCAAGGCCCGCTGCAGTCCAGCCCCACCCGAGACCCCTCCTGGCCTTTCTGGGTCAGATTGCTTTAACTGCTGTCCTCTCCTCCTTCAGACCTCTGTCTCTCCCGCGAGCGGGCACAGCTCCCCCAGCGCTGAGCTGGGCCAGCAAGTGTCCCAGGAGGCGGTGACCTGGCTGGGCCTGAGGGCAGGCACAGCTGTCCAGGACCAGGGAAGAGGGGGTTCCGGGTGCAGGCAAAACACAGGGAAGAGTGTTGGCTGCAGCCGTGTCCAGGCGGTCTACAGGTCTGTGCCCTGGTGCTGGAAGAAGAGCCAGGCCAGATGTACTGATGACCCCTTCCAGGGCCAGGCCAGACTGGGGGTCCCAGCCTTTCCAGTCTCTTGTTAGTAGCCTGGAGGGTGGACAGGAGGGGAAGAGGTCAAGGCAGTGGTGCTGAGACACACTGACACACATGGGCATACAGCCCCGGACACATCCGCGCTCTCACACTCTGATGCACTTGTGTTGACACTGGCACACAGACACACACCACATCCTGATGCACACTGACATACAACACAGACACGCCCCTCAAAGACAAGGAGGGCACACAGGCTGGCATAGCCCCGCACCGTGTTGACCACATGACATGCACTCGCTGACACACTCGTGTGCACACTGACACTAGGAGGTGAGGTCTCACTGACACAGGGACAGACGGACACTACAGCCCAGGAGCACCTCAGACCGTGCACAGGTCAGAGACGGTTGGACGTGGAAGCCACCCAGCCATCTCGAGACACCCTGGCACCCTGGCCATCCAGGCCGGCATGGCTGGACGGTCCCAGGTGACCTGCCAACAATGACTCAGAAGCAGTTCCCGCTAACGGGCTGCAGTTGGGCGGGCTTCCAGCTGCAGGTTGGCAGAGCCACGTCACTGCTGGGAAGAGGCAGCTGCCGCCACCCTGGTGCCCAGGCACCATGGACACAGTCCTGGTGGGCACCCAGGGATCAGGGCTCAGCCCTCTCAGGGAGACAGACCAGGCACCTTGGGCAGGGTGGAGAATGGAAGGCATGCCTGGGTGTGTTCACATCTGTAGCCAGGGTCTTTTGAGGGCTGTATCCGCACATCTGTCACCATGTGTGTCTGTGTGTCCTCTGTGCAGGGGCTGGGTGCAAGCCAGTTTAGATCAGGGACCATGAGGACCTCTGTCCTCACCCCGTTGGGCATGTGGCCTCCTAAGCTTTGTCCATATGGAGTGTCCTCACTCACCGACTGGCCCTGGGGCATGCAAGAGCCCTGGTGGAGGGGAGTGGGGAGGAGCTCGCCTACCCTTCCGAGACCACTGAGTGGTAGGGACCAAGTGAGGATACTCAGGGCCACCAGCCCTCCATGTGCTGAGTGAGGGACTGCATCTCTGAGCAGGTCCCAAGGCTGTCCACACCTTCCCCAGAGACAACAGGGTGATACCTTGTGGCCCTGTCCATGGGGCCACCCTCTGTCCTGGGCTCTGGGGTGGGGGCCTGGGTGCTCCTGCCCACCCCTAGCCTCAATTCCTCCTCATAGTGGGGGTTCTGTCACCTAGCCTGTAAGTGGTGAGGAGGGCACCAGCCAAACAAGTGCCCAGTGTTGGGGCCTAACCACATCCTGGCTGACCCCACATCCAGAACCCTTCCATAAATCCTGCCTCCACAGGAGTGCAGACACCACATTTACTGGAGGGGCCGGTGACCCCCTGGACACCTCTCTGCTGGGGCCCGAGCCTCAGGTGACAGTCCATAAGCCCCTAGGCCAAGGCCTTCTGGTCAGCGGTTGGTGGGGTGGAGGACAGAGGGATGCAGAGGAGTGGGCTAGGCTGACCCGAGACTGAGGCTGCTGGGAGAGCTGGGGAGCAGTTGTGAGGGCCTCCCACACCCATATCACATCCATAGTCATGCCCACGCCCACAGCCACAGCTCCTGCCATCCTGGGGCTTACCTCTGGGATGGAGGACAATGACTGCTGGGGTGTCCACCGTGCCACACTCCTGGAGCTCTCTACCCTCCCCTGCTCTGCTCATTCCAGGGCACACACCCCGATTCTGAGCACTGTCTCATAACAGATTTCCTTGGCCCAGCAGCCGAGGCCCTGAGGGCTTAAAGGATGTGGTGGGGGGAGTGGGCCTCCAGAGGTTGGGGCTCTGGGCTCTGGGTCTCCAGGGAGAAGGACCCAAGGTTGGTGCTCTAGGGGGCTCAGCTCTGGCAGGTGGTGCAGACAGCCACACCCTCCCCAGCACCCAGTTCCACCCACAGCCATTTCAGAATAGCCCTGGCACCACAGGGCCTCCTCTCCAGACCCTTGGGAGGTGCCAGGCTGCAGCCTTGCATTGGACCTGACTCAGGAACTATCTGCTGGGATGGAGTGCGGGCCCAGCTCAGAGCAACCCTCAACACACAGGGCCCCACCGAAGTGTCATCCCATGGGGAGGGAGGGTGAGGGCCTGGGAACGCTGTGGAGAGAACCCAGAGGATGGGGTCTCAGGCTGTCCAGCAGAGCCTGGGGGAGGGACATCCTCAGCCCCACAGTCCCGGGGCTGCTATCCAGCCTACCCAGCGAGGAGGCCCCGCATCAATAATTGATGTCTCCTGCAGCACTGGTCACAGCATTAGCAAAAAATAGCTTCTGTGTCCCTGCCCCACCCTGCTGGCTCTGCGCCCACAAGGAGTGGTCAGCATCGTACGCTGGACTCCAGGGTGGAGCACTGGCTCAGAGGAGGACCCTGCCTTGTATGCCAGCTTCCAGAGGCCCCAGGCCTTGGCTCAACCAACGTCTTCTGACCTCGGCCTCCTCAGCCTCACGTCCCCTCCCACTGGGCTCTTCCCACCCTTCCTTGTCCCTTGGGAGACATGGGGCCCACCTGGGGTGAGGTTTTTGCAGCTTGAGGAGGGAGGGTACTCCACTCTAACAGCAAGTGTGCCCCCCAGAGCACAGGGGCACCCCTTCCAAATGTGTAGAGCCAGCCTTGGGCATAAGGACACAGGCACAGGTCCCAAGGACTAAGGGACACCTTGGGGACCATGATTCTGGTGACCGTGCCGTGGCTGTCCTGCACCTGCAGCCCCTGGACTTAGAAGATGACCAGGGTAGCGACTGTGGGTGAAAGCAGGTGGTGATGGCAGGGGTCTGAGCAGCACACTGGTGTCCTAGAGACAAGATGACACCAGTGGATGAGCCGATGTGGAGCAGGCAGCTGGTCAAGACGGGGCAGACCTTTCAGAGCCCTCACACAGCCCATGTGGAAGATGGACAAAGCGCCCTGGCCAGCCTGAAGGGACCATATGGGGGTGGTCTTATGCCTTCCAGCACTCACTAACCACTGGTCAGACATGTGGATCACCACCACCTGACAACCTCCTTCAATAGGGTGGCGGTCACTCACATGTCGCTGAGGAGTTGGGGCCAAGAGGCTTCTAGTCCAGGTCCAGAGAGTGATGTCATGATGCAGTTTAGAAATTAAATTATGGGGAGTGTGGCTGAGAATGGATGTGCTTAGTCACAGAAGCCAGGCAGAGCCCAGGTAGGGCCCAAGAAGTGGGTGCTGCTCGTGGGGAAGGCTGGAGTGGGAATCCTCTCCTGCCCGGAGACACCTCCGCCTGTGGGGGGAGTGATGGGATGGCAGGGCGCTGAGGGAGGAAATTGGGACACACACGCCAGGTCAGCTTCCAACTTGGGGTTGGTAGGGCCTAAGATGCCTGAAGGCGGGAGCTGACTATGGACCCAGGTGGGCTCATTAGTGTACTCTCTCTGCCTGGCTGGCAGGGACCACTAGAGGGCCCTTGTCCTGATAGTGACCAGCCTGGAATCTGGCCCGCACTTCTTAACAAGAGTCTCGAGCGCACAGGATCATTGCTGCAGAGGGCGCATGGAGTGGTAGGGGGGCGGGAGAGAGGATGACAGCTCCGAGCTCCAGAGGGTCTGAAAGGCGAGGTGGCAGCTGGAGTGGGCACAGGAAGGGCCAAGACTCAGGGCAGGGAGGGACTCAGGG